CGGAAGAGCCAACCTTGACTACGGCCTGACTGCAGACTTCTGGCCTCCAGAATTGTAAGAAGCCCAAGCAGAGAAATACACTGTCCGCGTGCACGTGTTTTCACTCCTGTTTGGTGAGGACCGGAGTGGGGCGGCTGCGTCACGTGAAAGCATGTGTTTGACCCCAGGTGCTGGCCTGGCCTGTCCTCCACATCTCACCCGCAGGGCGCAGGCCTCCACCTCCTCCGCCTCTTCACCACGCTTGGTATCAGCAAACGTTCTGCTCATAGCCACGATGGCGGGTGCGCGGTGATCCCTTATTGCAGTTATAATTTGTATTTCCTCAGTGCCTAGTGACACTGAACCCCTTTTCACGGGCTTATTTGCTGTCCATAGATCCCTTTTGGTAAAGAGTTTGTTCAAATCTAACCCTAACACTAACCCTAACCCTAAACTTTGATGATGTCCAATGTATCATTTTTTCTTCTTTTTCTTCCTTTTTTAACCTAAAAAAATTAAATATTTCATGCATTTTTACTCGAAAATCATGCAACCACAGACAACACTTTGGAAAGTAGAAAAAGAAAACTAAAAGTTACCCAGAGTTCAACCATTCTAATGCATTTTCTGTCGATCTTTTTTTCCCTATTTAGAGGATTTGGTTTTTGTTTTATACAGTCGCAAACATGCCATATATGTAATTTTATATACTGCTTTTCCCCACTTTTACATCAGAAGCGCTTAACTTTATCATTTCATCTTCTAAGCCAGAATTGTCAATTGGCCCATCATCTGTCAGGACTGGAGATTCAGCCCATTTTACTTAATCATTCACCTGAATTTGGATTCTTAGATTATTTCAGATTTGTCATCATTATAAACAATGCTACGGTGAACATCTTTGCAATAGAGCTTTGTCCACGTTTACGATTGGATCTTCAGGTTAATGGTAAGAAACAGTTGCAAGCTCCCACGTGTTGGGTGCTGTGCTAGTGGAGCATCTCTGCAATCGTCACCAATAAACTTAGAGGTTTGCACAGGAGTAGACATGCACAGGGCTCCCTGCCCAGGTAACCGGCAGAACTGGGTTGAACCCAGGAAGCCTTAGAGTCTATTTTCATTCTCAGGAGTGCAATTCCTGGGACCAAAAGTTTATTAATAGGTTTACCCAAAGGGAAGACCTTCTAAAATAAACCTTATGATCTAACGTGCATCCTGGTGGCTGTACTTGGAATGTGCTGAGAGAGTAGATCTCAAGGTTCTCTCTCACACACGCAAGGTGACGACATAAGATGCGATCATCTCACCATGTACACACATGCCATTGTTCTCTTTCATAGACAGTGCTTTTGGCATCGTATAAAAGAAAACTTGGCCTAACACAAAATCTGGATGCCCGTCTGGATGTAAGAATGGACGTAGGAACATTCCGTTAGAGTAGCAGCCCCGGAAACACTACAAATGTTTAAAACAAGCGAGTCCCCGAGTCCGGCCCCTGGCCCCGCGCCGCGCTTACCTGCAGCCCCGAGGAGCTCTCGCCTGGGATGTTGATGGTGGAGTCCTGTTCTGTGAGCTTCATGCTGGTGGGACATACAGAAGGAAGAAAGGACACGTATCGGCAAATGTGGACTTTTGGGGGCTCAGAATGGGCTGTGAGAGGCTGCGCGATCATACAAGGCTCAGAGAGAGAGCAGCTCTGCTGAGCCCTGGAGTCTGGCCTCTGACACCGAGACAGAACAAACACCTCCTCTTTTAAGCCCCTTAGTTTGTGAGGATTTGTTGCACTAGACCTAAAACGAACACAAAAGTATCGTGTTGAATTCTCCACGTGGGCCCAGTGTAATCATCTGAGCCTCTAAAAACGGAGAACCCAGGAAGAATAATTCAGAGAGATCTGAACGTGAGAAGGACTTAAACCACCATTGCTGACTTGTGACTCAGGGGGGGGAGAAAAGGTGAGAAGTGAATTCTGTCACTGTCCCCAGTGGGCTTGGAAGTGGATTCTCCCCCCAGAACCTCCAGGGATGAACGAAACCTGGGGACACACGGTTGCTGTCTGTGGGGTGCAGAGAAGAGACCGAGTTTCATTCGACCAGGTTTCTGCCCCAAGGAAACCATGAGATAGTTAAGTGTCGATGTGTGTCTTCACGTGTAAGGTCTGATTCCTTGCTCATATTCTCATCCCATCCATTTAACATTCCGGAACAGATAAACAGTCCAGAAGAAATACTCTTTAGAAATTGGTACGATAACCACTGCTAGAGCAAGAGACACTTTGTAAAGTCCTCCGTGAGGTTTTCCGTTACAACTTGCCCACAGAACACCGTCACGTCCACGGGCACGTATGGGGCGCGTTTCTTCCTCTGGCAGGTGTCACATGACTTAGACATTCCCCCTGGTCTCTGTGAACCGAGGTCCGACCTGCTCTAACAGGGTCAGCCGCAGGAGTGAAGCTGGGAATGGCCATCAAAAGTGCCGATTTCCTCAACTGGATCCAAACTATATGTCACCCTAGAAACATTTCCTGCCACAAAAGACTGCTGGTAATTTATTTCCCATCTCATCTAGAGGATTTGTAACTTACATTGTACTTGTATCACATTTTACCCATCATTAACCCTTTCATAAATAATGCTAGCTCCTTTTCCAGTTGGAGGAGTAGAGGCTGGATTGGAAAAGAAAAAGAATACGGTAATGATGGCAAAGACGAATATGATACACGCCCAAAGTAGAGGAAAAGTCTCGATTTTTTTCTTAACAGAATGAACTTCACAATATATATGAGGCTCCTAAGGAATTGTATATGATCACTATTTTATCAAATAAAACATTATGTATACAATGCACAGAAAAATTATTAGAAGGGAAGACTTAAAAGATACAAACCAAAATTCCAGCAGGAGTTATTGGCGGGTGGGGCACTCTGAGTGTCTTTTGTTTTTATACTGGGAATTTTGTATTTCCAAATTTTCTATAATAAATATGCATTGATTTGGAAATCTGAAAAAATGTTTTTTGAGGTGAAAGTTTACCATCCTGGTTCCAGTTAAGTTTCTATCATTCTTACCAGGAAAGGATAAAAGAGAAACGTTCCCAGATTTTACTTAAAGGGTCATGGTTAGATGATGCTGTGAAGTGAAATTCATAATGACTTGGATTTACATGATAGTCTCACCAGTCAGATTTCTCAGGAAGTCAGATTAGAAGAAAACTTATTGGGTTGTTTGAAAGCGAATGATCTTTTTACACTAAATTGTATTTACTGGCTGATTGTTAGACTAAGCAAAAATCTAAGTAACTCTCAGCATCTGAGAAACTGTCTGGTGGTGCATTTCTTCTAAGCTCCCCTTTCCTGGTCCAGGGAACCTCTCTGCCCTGCCGGATGCAGGATGGAGAGAGAGTGACCCACAGGGGCACAGCCCCAGCGCTCCCCGTCCGCAGCTCCCAGCACGTCCCTCCAGAAGGGCGGGGGCTGCACTTCTGGCCCCTTTTCCACTGAGGAGAGATGAATCTCGGCTTCCCTGCGATTCCACATGGAGCAGCGATGCTGGGAAGAAGCAGTGGTCCCTCCCAAGTGAAGCCATATTGAAGGCAACACCAACCCTAAACCCAGGTGTCTTGGAACAGGACAAAATCCTTTCAAAGTTTATCTGGAAAAATAAATGTGTAAGAATTGTCAAAAATTTTGAAAAATGAAAACATCTTGATAGGAATTTGTCTAACAGGGAATAATGGGATGCTGCTTTAGAAGGAGTTAAATGAGGCAGAAGCAGGCGTCCAGGATGAGTGCAGATGGGTCCAGACACTGAAGAGAGAGCTTCTCACTTCCACGGGGAAGGTGGACTACTTAATAAGTGAGGTGGCAACCAACAGTTGTATCGTTGGGATAAAATAACTTTGTTACCTGTCTCACTGTTTCCAAAAATCAAGATGGCCTGAGAATCAAAATGTAAAGAAAGCAAATAAAAACTATGAAAATATTAGAAAGACTTTTGGAGGATATTTGTCAAAACTGAGAGTGAGGAAGGCTTTTAAAAGCAAGACAAAAGAAAATGTTGACAAATTCACCTTCAGAAAAATCTGTGACCTCTACATTGCAAAAGACACAATAAAGAAATTTTTTTAAATGACAGACTGGATGAACTATATTTGAAACACAGAGAACAAAGAATTAATATCTTCAGTAGGCAAAGAGCTCTTAAAATTGCTAAGAAATATACAAATACCCCAGTATAAAAATGCGGAAAACATGTGAAAACCTAATGCAATGCACACAAGAGAAATTATATAATGGTCAAAACAGATGAAATGATGTACATTCCCACTGGTATTAAGAGGAATGCACATAGAAACGATTACTTGTTTTATCTGGATAAAACTAAACATACTGTTAGTATCTTGTATTGAAAACTTTGAGGAAATTGATGCAAGTGTGAATTACTCTAACTTTGGGGAAATTATCGTGAAGATCTATGAAGACTGAAAGTGCACAGGCCAAGCCCTTTGCCCTATGGATGTCCTACAGAAATAAAACCAACTGTACCTAACAATACTGGCACAAAGACGCTTCCGGTAAACTGTCCGAAAAAGCCAAAGCTGGACATAACCTCCGGGTCTGCCGGGGGATAGCTGACGAACTCTCGGTCTCTCCATGGAAAAGGATGACTTCCCTGACGAGAAGGAATCACGTCTATGTGCAGTATCACAAAAGCCATCCACGATACACCACTGGGGGTACAAGATAGGGAGCTGCCGACTGACAGGTATGGCGTGATTTGAGCTTTCCCTGTAAGGTCTTGTGTGTGGATAGAAAGCAAAGGCGGCGGCTGCTCAGATATCAGCCTTGAGGTGGGGTTGGGGGTTTTCCATGGTCCCTATATGGATGCAAGGGCATGTGTTACAGATATAATAATGAAGCAGCAGTGACGTATTAATCTCAACCGACTCTCAACTTTACGTGGATAACAAGCCCAGCTTCCTGGCATGGAGCAGGGCGCGGTGGGCCGTCACCTGGTGGGCCTGGCGATAGCACAGATGACCAACCAAAGGGGATTTTTCTCAACACTTGAAATCTAAGGAGTTTGCCCTGCTGGGTTTCAGATTTGCTCAGGACTGGTGACCCTTTTTCCCTTCTGATTTCTTCCTGCTGGAATGGGTATGTCTAGCCTATGCCTCTCCCGTCAATGTATTTCGGAAGCAAATAGCTTGTCTGGTTTCACAGGTTCACAGATGGAGTGGAATTTTGTCCAGGATGAATCAATCATACCCTGAGTCTCAGCCATCACTGATCTGGATGATTCAGGTGGTGAGATTTGGGACTTAGAGCTGATGCTTGAACTGGGGGAAAGTTGTGATGTGGTGACAGAAGAGCGTGGATTTGGAGGGCCACAAGGCAGACTGTTGTGGGTTAAATTGTGTCCCTTCAAAAAAGATGAACAGTTGACCCTTGAACAACATGGCTTTGAACAGTGCGGGTTCACTTATACGTGCGTTTTTTCCAATATACAGTTGGCCCTCCGGATTTATGGGTCTCACATCCGAGAATTCACCCAAACTTGGACTGAAATTTCTATCTGTGGTTTGTTGAATCCTCGGATCCAGAACCCACAGATACGGATGGCTACCTATGGGACTTGAGCATCCATGGATTTTGGTAAACGTAGGGGCTCCTGGAACAAATCCCCCACGGATACTGAGGGACGACTGCATTGGAGCCGTAATTCCCAGCACGTCAGAATGTAACCTTATTTGGAGACAGGGTGTTTCAGAAGCCGTCAACTTAAACTGAGGTCATGGGGGCTTCCCTGGTGGCGCAGTGGTTAAGAATCCGCCTGCCAATGCGAGGGATATGGGTTCGAGCCCTGGTCTGGGAAGATGCCACCTGCCGCGGAGCAACTAAGCCCGTGTGCCTGCCGCAACTACTGAGCCTGTGCTCTAGATCCTGTGAGCCACAACTACCGAAGCCCAAGTGTCACAACTACTGAAGCCTGCGCACCTAGAGCCCGTGCTCCACAACAAGAGAAGCCACCGCAACGAGAAGTCCACGCACAGCAATGAAGAGTAGCCCCCGCTCACCGCAACTGGAGAGAGCCGAGGCGCGGCAACGAAGACCCAACGCAGCCAAAAATAAACAAATAAAATCGAATACAAAATTTTGGATGAGGGTGGGTACTAATCCAATACCCGTGGTGGCCTTGTAAAAAGGGGGAATTTGTGCACAGAGACAGGCATAGAGGGAAGATGATGTGAAGAGACACGGAGAGAAGACCACCTACAAGCCAAGGCGCCAGGCCTGGAACAGATCCCACCACCCTCAGGTCCCGGCCCACCCTGCCAACACTTGATTTCAGACTTCCAGCCTCCAGAACAGTGAGACATGCTTCTAATTGTTAAGCTGCTTGTTTTGTGGTACTTTGCTGTGGCAGCCCTAGTAAATGAACACACCCACCATAACACTGCAAGCAAATTCCCTGTTTCTCCACCTTCTGTGAGAAGATGACTTTTCATGGCTGCATACAATTTCATCACGGAGACAGAGTGTACTCTTAAAGTGTGTTCTTACCCTGGATGATGACCTTTATAATGGCCCATGTTCTGCTTTTGTGATTTCGAAGGTGAAAAAGGTCATGTGAGTGTGTGCAGTGCTCCTGGGGCAGAGTGTCACTTACCTTAGCATCTAACTGACTCAGCACCGACTCAACATGAGTCAGCCTGACTTTCGGGAGCTTAATTGAAACCTAATGTTAGTAGAGGCTGTCAAAAGGACATTCAGACTCAACGGAGCCCGCGTGCTCCAACTGGCACGGAAAATAAAGAGACTTGTCTTATTTCTGTGTATTAGTTCAGATGTTAGTTGTAAAGGGCGAGAAGAATTATTGTAGTTTTCGCAAGTAAGATAAGTAAAAATGAGATACGTGAATGGCTATAATTGTTAGTAATCTTAAGTGAAACAATTTTAGTTTACATTGTGTTACACATTATTTAAAAATATTCCATCACAGATGAATTATTTTTCAAAGTAATTTGAGTTAAGAAGAGAATATAGCTATTTTTCAGGTAGATACAACAACTCTAGTAAGCATCTAACCTACCTCTGTACAGATGAACTCAGGTTGGCAACTGGTTGCTGTGAGAATAAATAAAAATCAATAACATTGTAAAGGAAGAAATTGTCGATGTTGAGGTTATTTGTTCAGAAGATTCAAGTCTGTTAGAGTTGATCTCAAGCAATGGTGTCTCAGGGGCTTCTGAGGCCTGGGAAAGGATCTCACTGGTGGGATAGTATCTTTCCTCCCAACCCACGTTACATGTACAGAGGTGGCTTCATTTCTCCTAGTCAGGAATGGGACTGCTGGGTCAAATGATAAGGATATATTTAAGTTTTAAAGAAACTGCCAAACTACTTTCTAAAGTGGTGTCACTTTAAATTCTCATTTTCCTTTCCATGTATTAAGACATCCAACTCCTCTATGGGTTCACCAACACTTGGTATTGTTAGGCTTTTTAATTTTAGCCACTCTGATTCATGTGTAGTGGGGTCTTACTTTAGTTTTAATTTTCATTCCCCTAACGCCTAAATGATGTTGACCACCTTTTCATGTGCATATTGGCCCCCTATATATCTTTTATGGGGCGGTTTGTTCAAGTCTTTTGCCCATTTAAAAAACCTGGTTGAGTCGGGGGCGGTGGGCAGGATGACAGTTTCCACGAAACGTGCTTCCAAACTTCTAGCAGAAGCTGCCAGCGCAAGCGCGAGCAAGGGAGAGGACTGCTGGCAGCCTCACTGCTGCTAAAGGTGGGTGCTGACCCTCTTGCTATTTTCTAAATTATGACCAGGATCCCCCTCCTCCTCCCCAGAGAAAATAAAGCCACCAGCAACCTTCAGAAACTGGCACAGCAGCAACGCCTGCTCGCAAGTAGCCCACCAGAAACCCCCGGAGCATCTGACCTCTGGCAGGGCCTACAATGAGTCAGCCCTGCAGGCTGGATCCTGTGAAGTTATGGAGACGATACAGCACGCTCACATCGTCACACACGCACATCACACATGCATCATACTCACACATCACACACGCACATCATCACACACACAGAACCCAAACACATCACACTCACACACCACAAACACACATCACACACGGAACACACATGCATCACACACAGACTCACACACACACACAACACAAGCCCCACAGTTTAGAACAGTTCTCTGTCCCTCACTTTCTCTTCTATTCCGCACCTACCTTTGCTCCCACGTGAGGGGCATCCCTGGGAACCACATCAGCGCTTCAATTCATCAAACAAGCAATTCCAAATACTGCTCTGCCCTCATTCTTGGAGGGCCTGAGACCCACCTTCGGCTCTGACCCCCGTGGCGAGTCTCACGCTGGTGGCCGTGGGCTTTGATGGCCGTGGGTTTACCTTTGATGACGAGGTGTCCTCTGGCTTTACGGTGGTGGAGCACAGACTCAGGTGCATGGAAGTTCGCAGGAACTCCTTGGGCTTCTTGCTGCTAGGATGGGGCAGGGGGAGGGAAGACTGAGGTCAGCGAGGAGGGAGCTGGCTGGGGGCAGGAGCGCATGCGGGGCGGGCAAGGCTGCAAAGCGTCACACCAGCGTCAATGCTGCCGTTTCCTCCTTAGAGCAGCAGCCCCGGGAGGCCGTGTGAACGCTCGATGTAAAACAGCCTGCAGGGGCTGTGCATGTAAAGGACCATGACTGCTTGCCAGTGGGATGCCAGGGAGGCGGGCTTCACCCCACTGAGCTCCCCCCCGGACAGCTGCACTTGCCAGTTTGTGAGCAGCAGCGGTGCAGGGGCGCTTTACAAGCGCACAGTGACGTGCCTCGGGGCCACAACATTGCCACTCTGCGGCACTTTCCCGCAGAGGCTCCAGGAAACGGGATACGGGAGGCTTGTCTTTGATGCCCAGGTAGGTCAGTGTCATCACACGGACCTCCACAAACCAAGGAACATGGAAGAGGGAAGTCGGGGAGGTTTGAAGCACAAGGACGGCTCGGCCCTCCGCTACCGACTTAGAGATGGAGCGTGAGGACGGCACGGGCTCTGTCAACATTCCGGACCCACCGTCTGCAGAGGACGCTGCCCCAGGAGCCCTGGCGGCTCCCTGTGAAACGCCAAGCAGAGCCCGACGCGCCCGCAGGCATGTGACTGCGGGAACCGAGTTCACGCGTCGTCTTTGCCACTAAGTCTGCGGGGATTTGCTGTGTAGCAGTGGGAACTGGCACAGGCCACGCCTCTAAAATCAGACAGGAAGTGTCTGCCTGTGTGTGGTCCTGCCCCCACTTGTATCTTCATCCTAGCTGGTCAATTTCTATCGATATAATCCATTCTATTTACTGTTCCACGGCAGGCAAACAGTCCAGAAGAGAAGAAACACTCCCAGTAAACTGGTCTGATAACTGCTGCTAGAGACACACTTTACAAAGTCCCACAGTGTTTTCCACCAAAACACGCCTGTGAGACACTTCAGTGTCTTGTGATTTAAACATATTCCCAGGTTTCTAGGACCTACTCCAGCAAACTTTCCCCCAAATCGGGCTGTGTCTACTCGTCAACTGTTAGGTTGACTCCCAGGTCACCCCAGGAACATTTCTGCAGCAAAAAAAGGTCGTTGGTGTTTTATCGCCCATTGGGTCTGGAGGGCTTGTAAACTCGTATTTTGTTGTATCACACTTCTCACACAATCAACCCTTTCAATAAGGGGATGCAAAAGTAAAGACTAGATTGAAAATAAAGAGTAGTATTCCAAAAACGAGGACTGCGGTACAGTCCAAAGATGGCATGATTTATATTCATAAAAATCATTATTTTTTCTGTTAACAGACAATGTTCACAATACATGGAGTTTTTTAAAAAGACTTCTAAAGAGTTCTACAATACGATTATAATTTTAGAAAAAGACCCATCATGTATATAATGCACACAAAAAATATTTAAAAGGAAGACCTATACCGCAAAAAAAAAAAAGAAGACCTAAAAGATACTAATCAAAATGCCAACAGTGGCACTTGGTGGAGGGGGGCAAGAAGGGCTGTTCGTATTTACACTGGGAAGTTTTGCAGTTTCCAAATTTTCTGTAATGAATATGCATTGATTAGGCAATCTGAAAAAAAAAAACTAGGTTTTTGTCTTGTTTAGGTTTGGTTTTAGAGTTAAGCTTACCATGCTGATTCCGGTTAGGTTTCTACCATCCTTGCCAGAAAGCAATAAAAGAAAAAATATTCTTAGATTTGAGTTAAAGGACCACAGACACTTGAAAGTGAAATTCAAAATGACTTAGATTTTCACAATACTAGTGCCAATCAGGTTTCTAATAAATTTAGAAGAAAAAAAATAGTGGGCTATTTGAAAAGGAATGTTCTTTCACACTAAACTATAATGCCCTGATTATTAAACTAAGCAAAAATCTGCAGCAGTTCTCAGCTTTGGGGGAATTGACTAATGGTGCACTTCTTTTCTGAGTCTCTCTGCCGGTTGAGCTGTGGCAAGGGAGACGTGAAGCCCTCCAGGGCCCCTGGGCCAGTCTTCCCTGCCAGGAACACTGGAGGTTTCCGGGAAGAAAGAGCCTACTAGGGTGTGCCCGGCACTTCCAGCCCACCTCCCCACCGGCAGACTGGCTTCCTGGTTGGTTCCCCACACAGACGCTGAGCTGTGAAGGTGGGGCGGGGGGGCAGCCTTTGTCCCACCCACGTAAAGTGCACACCTAACGTAACTCCAGTTCAAACTCCAGGTTTCTTGGAACTGCACAACATGATCTCCAAGTTTATATGGAAAAATAAATACAGGAAAGAATTGTCAAAATAATGAAAAACAAAAATCTTAAGAGGGGCATTCACCTACTAGATATTAAAAGGCAGCTAAATGAAGTCCTATCGTTAAAACAGCACGGTGTCCTTAGGACGCTCAGCAGAGGGACAGACTGGTGTCCAGAAGCAGACAAGCCCAGAGTCTGCGCAAGCTCGGGGTATCAGGAAAACGGCCTTTCGATTTGATGAGGAAAAGTGGACCATTTAATTAATGAGGTGGCAACCAACAGTTATGCTGTAATAAAATAACCTTGGCTATTTCAGTAAATACAAAAATAAATAGAAGGTGGTTTAAAAACCAAGTGTAAAGAAAGCAAGTAAAGAATACGAAAATATTAGGAAAGAATATGGAGGACGTTCCTTGGGCGAAGAAAGACACTTTAAAGCCAGTTAAGAGGAGAATATAGCTACTCTAGGCAGATGACCACTTACCCCTGCACAGGTGATCTCAGGTGGTTATCCAGCTGCTGTGGGAGATAGAGCAAAGTCATAAAATGAAAGCAAGTTGTTGACACTTTCAGTCGATTTGGAGCAGTGGTACCTCAGAGTCTCCTGGGTCCTGGGAAGGGACGTCACAGGAGGGGAGGGGGGGCACCCTTCCCCGCACCCTTACACATGTGTGCGCGTTTCCACTTCTCTTTGGCAAGAGACAGGGAGTGGGGTGACTGGGTCACTGAGACGTACACATTTCACTTTTTAAGAAAATGCCAAACCTCTTCGCAAAGGGTTGTAGTTTCACATCCCCACCAGCAATGTGTGAGCCTGCCACCTACAGCCTCGCCGACACCTGGGGCCGGTCTCTTTGATTATGGCCACTCTAATGGACATGTGTGATGTCTCACTGTGGTTTTGTGTTTCCTTAACGATGAATTATGATGACCCTCTTTTCATCTGCCACCCACAGATCCCCTTTGGTGCAGTGTGTTCAAATCTTTTGCCCATTTAAATCTCTGGGTCGATTTTCTTACAATTGAGTTTTGAAAGTTCTATACATCTTCTGGGTACAAGTATACGATTTGCAAATAATTATTTGTGTCTGTGGCTCATATTTTCATTTTCTTAATGGGGACCTTTGAAGAGTGAATGTTAACTTTGATGAGCAGCAGCTGCAGAAATGGGCGGCCTGAAAGGAGTCGGCCCTGCTGGCTTGATCTTGTGGAGAGTGAGTTCGGAAATGATACAACACACACAAGCGCACTACATGCCAAACCCACTCACATGCACATACAGCCACACACACATGCCAACACAAAAGCGAAGGACTGTGGCTAAGTGGTCCTAGCTGCAAGATGACCCTGGGTCTTGCCCCAGCCCTGCATGAACCTGGATGGTGAAGCAGAGAGACGACCAGTACCTGTGACAACACTTTTCTTTGTGGGGTCACATCTCTCTTCACTGCCAGGGACTTTGAGCTCTGCCGTTTGTTGTTTTGCATTATGTAATCAAATGTGCTCAACTTCTTGGCCCCTAGAAAGGAGGAAGGAGGCAAAGGGCAGAGTCACCCTCCATCAGCTGCAGAGCGGCCCGCCCTCCGTGGTCCGGGGCGTTGGGGGCTGGTTCCCAGGCCACTCCAAGCCCGGCTGGCCTTGGGCCGTGGCCAGCAGTGGCCCACCAGCCCTGTCCCGGGCAGAGGAGCCATGGCCCTGCGTCCCTCACAGGCCCGTAAAGCCAAGGTGGACGGGGGAGTGCTGAGCCCAGCTCTGTTTTAATTAAGGTGAGACACCAGCTCTCACACGTGGCGGAAGGACCCCAGGTTGATAGAAGAAACTCTCAAACATGTTTGTCAATAGAAAAGCACTATTAACGAAAGCATGCTCTGTGCCCGTTTCACTCGTGTGCCTTCACGGAGGGGCCAAACTTTCCCTGAAAGCTAACAAACGTGAGAACAGAGGGCTGACCATCATTTCTGAAAAGCGAAAAGGGCCACCCACAGAAGCCTATTTGCTGCTTGAGGAGCAGATGGAGGGCCGCCTGCCCTCACAAGGCCCCACAAGGCCCCACAAGGGCCCACAAGGGCCCACAAGGCCTCACAAGGCCTCACAAGGCCCCACAAGGCCCCACAGGCCTCACAAAGCCCCACAAGGCCCCACAAGGCCCGCTCGGCTGCTGCCCCGCGGGGGGCCCGAGGCTCAGGACCCCCTCCCCGTCCCCTTCCCTGGGGGTTCCTACAAGGGCTTTTGCTTCGTTTGCCTTATCTTCCTTGATTAACTGCACACGTTCCCTCAGAACCCGTGTCACACTTCGAGGATGTAAACTTGACCCTGTTTGTATTCTCATGAAAATATTCATTCCTCTGGGTGGGTTTGCACAACCACCACCAAATCCAGACTGTGAGACGCCCCTGCGTGCCTCCGGCGCTCACCCTCTTCTGAGTGCACTTGGCGTGAGGTGTGGTGATCGGACCGCAGTGACAAAAAGCGGACGAGAGGACACGGACGCAGAGCCCCACACGCCCCGCGGCCTGGGAGCTGCGGCCGGAGCCCGGCCGCGCTGGGGAAGGTCCACCTGTGTCCACCCACCTTGCAGGGCCCACCCGCCGGCTCGGGCAGCTGGAGGATCCTCTTTCTCAGCACCCTCCACGGCGCTTTCTCGCCCACTTGCGGTGCCTGGCTCTTCCTTGAGCCTCCGGCCCGAGGGTTTCACTCCGATCGCATGCTGAGCGCTCGCCACTGCACTGAGCCTGGACTGAATTCTGACTCGCCACTGCGCTGAGTCTGACTCCGCAGAAACTGAAGGGTCGTGAGGATGTTAAGTAGATACGTTCTAGGGTACTTTTACTGTAACTAACGATAGCTAAATCCCAACGTTTTCCTGGAAATCCATTCTTAGAGGTTCAAAGACCCTAAAATAAACCCACTCGGTCCTGAGTCCAGCACGTCTCCCCCCGTACAGGCCTCCTGTGTGTCCTCACCCTCGGTGACGGTGGCATCACTAGCCCCTGGACACTCCCGTCCTTACATGTCCAGCCGGCCACCGAGTCCTGTGGGCTTGACTTCTCCAGGCCCCTCCTCACTCCTGCGGACTCACCACATCCCCAACAGCTGAGAAATGCAGAGAGCAGCGCTTGGGCGCGCTCCGCCTGGACAGATGCAGCGGGCCCCCGACACGCACCCCAGCCCCGGGGCCCCGTGGGCCCCGCCGTGCACGCAGGAGCTGGGGGAGCCGTCCGGGGCTTCCAGGGCGGGTTCTGCCCTCGCCTCTGGCTCGGCGGGGGATGGTGGGCGCCGGAGCGCCCGGCACGGCCACCACAGGCCCCTCGCCTTCCCTTCGGGGCCGCAGAGGTTGGTGACGGTTGTGACTTCCAAACAAAGGCTTCACAGGGTGCAGGACAGGCCTCCTCCCCTCATTTTAAAGGCAGATGGAGCCTGCCCCGGGCAGCTGCCGTGTGGACACGAGAAAACCACCCGTTCTCCCTCAAGCGAGTTTGGTTAGTGGAGACCCCATCGCTGAGTTCAATGCTCTTCATTGTTAGGATTTCTGGTTGTTGCTTTTCTAAATCTCCCTGCCCTCTTCCACAGTGTCCTGTTCCTGCCTCACAGATTCTATTCCTTTCTATCTCTGAACACCTTAACTGACCACTTTTTGAACCTCCTTTATGTTTTCCGCAGGCCTCTGCCCCTCGTGGGGTGTTTCTTCTCTTCCTGTCACTTGTCCTTTGGGCTCTGAGCTTGTTTCTGGCGGAGGCTCCCTGCCCGGGGACCCACGTGAACACAGGGCAAAGGCTGGCCGCCCCGGGGCAGCCCAGGGGGCACGCACTCAGGTGGAGGTGGAAGAGGAGCAGGTGACCGAGCAGCAGGAGGCTGACGAGGTCAAGCAGCAGCGTCAGCGCCCCGATGCCCAGGAAGACCGGCGCGCTCGTCCTCACGGGGAAAAGCGGAAGGAGCAGGAGCCACGTGTTCTGGTCGGAGACACCTGTGGAGCGGGGGAGAGGCACATGCGTCCAGCTCCTGCGGACAAGGTAGCACCTCTCATCAGGTGAGTACCTGGGGACAGAGCTTGGCAGTGGGGGAGGGAACACCAGCCTGAGGGAGTGACTCCCTGCCCAGGTGAGCCCCTCCCTGCCCAGGTGAGCCCCTCCCTGCCCAGGTGAGCCCCTCCCCTGCCAGGTGAGCACCTCCCTGCCCAGGTGAGCCCCTCCCTGCCCAGGTGAGCCCCTCCCTGCCCAGGTGAGCCCTTCCTCCTCGCCCAGGTGTGCTCTGCCTGACCTAAGTACCCTCGCAGTCCCTCCTGACTGCGGTGGGTATCACGACCCACTTTATGGATCTGGAAGGTAAGGCTGGGAGAGGGTAACTAGATGCCCAGGTCACAGAGCCTGACCCCGGTGTCCACTGTGCTGCCCCGCTGGGCCCTCCCCACTCTAACTAGAGCTGGAAGGTCAGAGCCACCACCTGGGGCATTTCCAGGGTACAGTCCTCTGTGACCCAAGGGGACCTGACACCACAGCCACACAGCTTCCAACAATTAAGTGAAGAAAGAGAAGGGTCGTGCGCTGGCCAGTGAAGAGCGAATTCCAGCTCAAGCGTCTTCACCCCACAGCTCAGCCTGGAAGGTGCTCGGCCCCGGGCCGCCCTACGTGGCCCCCCAAGGGAAGGTGGCGGGAGGGGAGGCCCAGGTGCGGGCGCGGCGCAGCGCGTACTCCTGTAGTGCGGGTCGGTGCGCAGCCCGGCGGGGTTGATGGCATACTGCGTGAAGACGCACAGCAGCGTGGCGGCCACGCACAGCAGCCCCGCCGAGGCGGAGGCCACCGAGGCGAAGAAATACCTGTGGGAGTAGAGCCTGCTCGGGCGGCTGCTCAGCCCCGGGCCGGGGAGCCAGGCAGCACGCGCGCCGGGGCCCAGGGCAGCGCGCGCCACCCCGGCTCGCCCCTGCCGAGGGTGTGCCCTGGCCGCCGTCCCGCGGCCCTTGCCCCTCTGGCTCCCGGCCTTTGGGCTTCTCTCTCCTGCTCTCGGGGTGACCGCACAGACCCACGGCCCGGGGGCCTCCCCTGCGCTTTCTGTTCTCCACAACACGCACCTGAGATCTCACTCGGTCCTACGGGAGGCCTGAGGAGGGCCCTAACCCTGACGCTAAGCACCCCAGCTCGCAAGAGGGAGACGGAGGCTCAGACACGGGGTGCGACTGGCCCAAGCCGGCCCCTCCTGGGCCCCCTTCTCCTGCTGGTTCAGGCCCGGCTCCCTCCCAGCCACCGCCAAGGGCACCGCCGGCCGGGGTACTGATGCCAGCGCCGAGGAGCGGGGCCACACTGCCTTCGAAAGGCACACCCGTCAGGGCTGCGTGCTTAGGCTTTAGACCCAAATCGCTGCTGCGCTCTGCGCACAAAAGACACAGAGAATGGTCTTCCCGTCCCGTCCGAACAAATAAACCCCGGGCGGCGATTCCTGGAACACGGTTCCACTAAAACGCCTTCCTTTAGTCTTCCTGCTGTTATACCTTTAACATTTTCAGTGTTAAACACTCTGTAGTTCACCGGAAGTCCCCTTACGCCTGCCCTGAGGTCCTCCCCCAACGCCCCGGATAACCCCGCACAGGCCAACCCCGTTGCGTGCCAGGCCCCCCCACGCCCCGTCCTGCTGACCCTGCCCGGTGGACGTGGGGAGGCGCCCGCCGGGAGAGCCCTCTCAGCCAGCTCTGCGCTTGGAGCCGCCCTCGGGACCTCCGGCCCCCTCGGTGCTCTGCACGGCAGGGCCACACCCCTCACCTGTCCCCACGGCAGGTGGACCTTGAGGTGCTCGGCCAGTTAGGAGGCCCCTTAAGGAAGCACGTCCCAGAGGAGGGGGGAGCGAGCTGCGTGAGGGGTGAGTGCCACCCCAGGCCCGACTTCCCGGGTGGGGAGAACCCTCACCAGTAATTCCTGCTCCCCACGCAGTTGTTAAGCCACTTGCAGTGATGGTCGAAGCCTGAGACGCACTTGTTGCAGGTACTACAATGCTTGGCTTTCACACTCCTGGAAGGAAGGTTGGGAGGGGCAGCCTGTCAGAGCCCCTGTCTGCCTGCAGGGCCAACCCCACGCGGTGGGTGCCTGCCCGGGCGGGCGCGGCGGCCACAAGGCACCAGGGCCTGAGGCCCGGAGGCTGAGTCAGATCCCTCCTGGCCGCCTACTGACACCCCTGGGGCCCCGAGCAGCCCCGGGCTATGATCCCGGCTGTGAGACCCAAGGCTATAGCGCTCCTGCCCCGGCCTGGCGGGGGGCTGCGTGTCGGGGCCCCTGCTTCTCTGCAAAAGGGGCGGCGCCCGTCGGCTGCTGGGGACCAGCTGCGCCTGAGCCCAGCACCGCCCCCCCCCCCC